CGATATATCCGATATCGCACACATTTTTTGCCTTCGTGTTGACGCGATTGTGGCCACACATCAAACGACGAGGAATAAACAAAATTCGTGCATATCGATATTAACATTTATGAGCTATTTAATAAGTAAATACGTGCACCCTTCTAAAGGCAGCTGTTGGGGCATGTGTATGCATGATTATTTGCCGAGGCATCAACATACTAAAAAATTCAATTAATGCTGCAAAGCCAGATAGTGAAAATTTAATACGCATACCACTCTGCGTCCGAACCTACTTATTATATTTATAGAATGTGTGTGCGAGGGGGTGCGTCAGTTGGGGAACGCGCCAGTATTTATGTGCCTAGGTATGCGTCCCACAAATGTTAAGTCCAAACAATGAAATCAAATGATTTAATTATAACAGACAATAAAGCAACAGAATAATTGCGGCCGGTGACTGCAGCTGCAAGGGCTGTGTTCACGTTCCCTCTCATACCGACTGCATTTTTGGGCTTTGCAATACCCACAAAACACACGAGACGGCCGGACAGGATGGGCTGAGACTCGACAAACAGTGGCGAACGCGGCAGCAGCAACTACAACAATGAATTGCAACAACAATACAAACGCAACTGCAATCACAATTGCAATTAAAATGCGTGCAAAAACAACGCATTGAGCCGCGGCAACAGCAACATTTAGTCGGCCAATAAAAAATAATACAAATAATATACGCCAACAGCAATAACCGACTGTTACAACAGCAACAGTATGATGTAAACTTTTAAACAATTGATTAACAACAATTAGCCGCTTATTAAATTACAATAACAACGCAGCCTCAAAAGCAACAGCGCGCCGCAAAAATAACTTGTGCAATAAAGCCAATTCGGACGCCAGCGTTCGCATGAAAATCCGCACGCTGACCTCCCAAACGTGCCACCAGTGATGCGACTTACAGCTGCCCATGGACAAGTCAATCGGTTAGAATTTAACGCGCATAAATTATTGCCTCTCACACTATGCTACACTATGTGTGTATACGCAGTGTGACCTGGTATCCAGTGTCATTCTGTCCTGGTACGCAAATTGGTGGCAAGTGATGTAATTTAACGATGTGAACGGTTTAAACCGGCTTTTGCAGGCAAAGAGTGTTGCCAATAACCCAGGCAGTTTGGTTATGGTTGCGTTGAAGTATGGCCCGCCTCTAGGAAAGCCGCAAGACAAACTTTAAAAAACGTAGCATACTTATGCCGCCACCTTGCTCCTACTGGTACAAGGCGCGAGTAACGCATGCAAATTCTAAAGCAACACATGGTGACAGAAATGGCAACAACGTAGAAGAAAATGGGCCAACCTGAACAGAAACAAAAGGCCGAACAGAGCTGAGCAAAAGTTGCAAATGGCTAACCACAAAATGGGCGACAAATGTGAAAAGTTTTTTGTTTTAATTTCCGACACTTTTTGAAGCCACCACTCGAAGTGGGCCGATCAATATGTCCTGCACACAAGTTACCAGGACACTTTTGAACGAGAGGGAGACACACCCATTGACACTCATTTATGTTGACCTTCTTGAAAGTAATTAAAAGTGACCCTCAAGTATTATGCTTAGTAATTTTTCAATATAGGAGCGACGCACATTTAAGGATCGCTGCAAGCTTCAAAAATGACCGCAAATCCGAGCGAGCAGAGCCCTCAGGATAAAAACCATTTTCATAAGCAATTTATGCATGGCGATAGTTTTTACACCCGATGACCCACACCAACAAACACAAATACACCCGTTCACCCGCATACCTTCATACAGGCAGGCAAAGCTGCAAACATTTTGGTTAACGAGACTTTTAATCTGTCCAAAGGTATTTAAAGTTGGCTAAGCCCCAACACTGACTGACTTTTATGGTTACGGAGCAAGTGTCAAAATGTTTGTTAACGACAATGACCTACCCTGCCGCAACCAACCCAAAGGAGGACAATATGAGTGGTAATTTATTTTGCCTTTGCCGGCAGCAGAAGCAGCAGCAGCAGCAGCAGCAGCACCAACGCCCCCACAGTGGCAACAACACGGAGCACAAAGGACAAGCAAAGGTGGTCTCCTGGAATAGACCTTGCCTAGGGCTCAAGTTGCATGTGGCCCAAAACGACCACCCACACACTCGCAGCCAGACGCAGCAAAAAAGTGGAGGTAGAACGGTCCAACATTAGGCGCTAATCTTGATATTGTACAAAAGTGACCAGGCCGGCCTCAGTCATCTGGCAGTGACAGGGAGCGGCGGCCAAGGTTAAGCAATTGAAGCAACAACAGGATGGTCCCATTCGCATATGATGGACCCAGCCACGCCCACATTCAGGGCGAACGGATGACATGCGAACGGGGGCTGAACGAGGGATGAGTCGCCTGGTTTGGCAAAGCGTCGGAGATTTAATTGAGCAGGCTTCCATAAAGTCTAGAGCAACGGATGCTGCAGACATTGTTGACCCTGATTCACAAGGTCAGCATTAGACGATGAAGCCCCCGCAAAAGGCAACATTGCCGCTGATGGCTGATGGCTGATGACTCGTGATGTTTCGGAAACTCCAAATTCATCCTATCCTTTTCACTGAGCTGTGGCAATATGAACAGCAGGACCAGCTCCATTGTGCGGTTTATAATCCATCGCTGTCTAAAAGTGGGCGGAACGAATTTCAAACTGTTCGTTAAGAACCTTTAGGATTAATTTAAAACGTGTAAAGACGAATCGCTCCAATAGATACTCACATGTGTCCTTGATGTATCACTTCCGCTGTCTGTTAACTTACGAGTGCGCTACAAATACGCTTGGCGGCCAAGAGCACACGCGCCAAGCGTTACGCTGCAATGCCAGCGACGGCACTCGAACCATTTGATAGCAACACGTCTTTCTGGTATTTTCACACGCCTGAGCATCGCATTGGATTCAACGTCACGTTTTAGTGTCAACCCTCTTCCCAGTTTTAGTCTTTCAGTTTCAAGCACCAAGCACCACCCATCAACCACCGCCCCCACGCCTGGCCACCGCCAAATGGCGACGACTAATATGCTTATGCTGAATGCTCGGCCAACTGTCTGGCAGCCAAAAGAGAGCCAGGCACGACGGCGCGGACAGATGGGTGGACTAGACGAGGGGGAATTGAACCCTTTTCATTTTCCGGCTTGGAGTGGCACTGGAATGAGATTGGAGCGCACACACAAACCCATACGCACGGAGCACGTCAATGTTGATATTTCAACTACAATATTATTTTCACTTTTAGACAGACAAGCGGGTAACCAAAGCATACAGTTAGTTTATTTTGGAAATTATAATAAGCCACTTTGTGGCGCCGACGCCTCCCCCGGGCCTGTCGGCGGGTGAGATGCGGGCAGGAGGTTTTTCGTGAGATAGGGAGCAAGTCTGCAGGCCTCTAACCTGTTTGTCAAACTTACTTCAAGTTGAACGTGCCGTCTGCTAACTTCTGCATATTCTCTTGGCCAGAGGCAGCAACCTTACGAATATTTTCTACACTCGTTTTCTGAAGCATTGGTTTTCTCATCATAAGAAATCAATGTACTTTTACTTCGGCCTACATGTATCAAGAATAAAATTTATTAGTGAATTAATCCGAAACCAATCAAAACATGATATTCAATAACTTTTATTTTTAAGGGAATACTGTGATTTTTATTTAGAAACGCCAAAAATTAAACCTGTTTTACCTTTGTCTACAAAATAATATGGAGTCAAATGGGATAACGAGTAAACCGCTATAAGTCAAATTATACACAAGAAAGGAAGCAATCTTCGACAAGCCGAAATTTATATACCCTTGCAGCTATTGCATAAATTAAATATCTTTTAAAACATCTAAATCTAAAACATTTTAAACACGTGCGTATATGTTTAAAATTATTAAAGCTATGATTATTTTCGCCTCATTCATATTAAAACAAAAAACATCAAAGTTATAATTTCTTCATTTTTTTCCCGGTTGTTCCTATGGGAGCTATATAATATAGTCGTCCGATCCCGCTCGTTCCGACTTATGTACTACCTGCAGAAAGACAACTTTTGGAAAAGTTTTATGTAGATAGCTTTAAAACTGAGAGAGTAGTTTTCGTAAAAACGGACGGACAGACGGACATGGTTAGATCGACTCTCCTAGTGATGGTGATCAAGAATATATATACTTTATAGGGTTGGAAATGTCCCGATCACTGCGTTGCAAACTTCTGAATGAAACTATAATAACCGTGGTAAAATTCTATACAAATGAATAACCAGAAACTGCGAAATGTTACTCAGAAAATATAACACAAACACTGCACTAACATACTGCATAGAACCATATGGTCAATATGATAGTGATATATGTATTTTTTTTAACTTATAACTCTGTTTTAAATTTTGTGTTGCAATTGCACAAGTCACAACGAAAAGACTCTTTCGGATTTTGTTTTTTGACAAAAACCTAAAAAAACACCTAAAAAAACAGTTTTTCTATCAAAACGCTGAGAAGTAATAGTCAAATGATGAAATGTCATACATCGCTGAAATCGTCATTAAATTGCCTATCAAATGGCATTCGCGGTACCATTGGAGGTGCATAAAAATTTAAATAAACATCAACGATTGAATGAACTAACTAGCTTCTAGATGTTTAGTCTTCTATATACCAAGCTATGAAAAAGAAAAGTCAGCAAGGAAGTCGAATTTCAAAGAATAACAAAAGCAATTGAAGCTAAACTGATCCCAATTAAAAACGGAAATTTGAGCTGAACAGCAAAAAGGTCTCTTAGATTTTAATGATTCGACTCAAGCCACACGAAATGTTTACATATTGAAAAGGCATTCCGTCCGATATTGCTGTTAAATAAGCAAAATGTGCGTCTGGGAGAACATGTACATAAGTCTCAACCATAAGAACTCGCTCGGGTTCTTATGTAAAAATCAGTACATAATCAAAGGGAGGAGTTTGTATACACCAAGAGCTCGATCAAACCGCTGAGACATGGGCATTTATATGCCCGAAAGAGTCTGAGTGGAAGTCGAACTTCAGTGCTTTAGAGCAGCCCAAGCTAAGCAGAACCAAATTATAAACAGTGAACTCTTGGTTCGTGCTGTGATTTTAGTTTAGATTATATAAATCAATACAAAATAAAAAAATATCTCATCAACAGAATTCATAATGAGTCGCAGAGAACTGTCCAACTGGGATTACGAGGATGACAACTGGGGCTACCAGGATGACAACGACCAATATGATTACCAAGAACCAAATGATTACCATGACCTGTTTGATTACGGAGGATATAACTCATTTTCCAATAACGACTATCGATCCAACTCTTTTCGCAATGGAAACTACCAAAGTGGAGGTCGCCACCAATCCTCCACATCCCGACCGAAGGCTTCTAACTTCAATTCTCGCGGGTCTCGCGCAATTCAAGGAAATAAAAATCCGACAGTTTCTCAAAACACTGAGCCACAGTCGATCCGAGGAGGTCCAATTCAACTCTCATTTTTCCCAAAATCCACTACGCAGAAACAGAATTCATCAGAACCAACTCCATCGCCATCGAACCCACAAGGCACCAATTATGTTGTAAACATCATCAATATTAACCATGAATATTAATTTGAAAATGGTGTATAAAAATATGTTGAACAATAAAATGTATTTTACTTGACATTGAAAATAAGATTAAGCTCAACTACATTTGGACTTATTGCTATTCAATTTTCCAATACTCTTTATAGCTACTGTGCCTATTGTTTTATAGTTGTGATTTTTCACACAAGCTAGTTTCTCAGTTTTAAAGCTATCTGAATAAAATGAGAGGAGAAGCTATCTTCGACAATGCGAAGTTTAAATACCCTTGCAAGCTTAATTATATTATATTGGGTAATTAACTGAGATATACGCATAATTTATATTAAATTTCTATAAATTGTCCCCGACTGTTTCTTCTGGCAGCTATCGGATATAGTCCTCCGATGTACGAAAAAAAATACGACTTGAAAAGTTTATTCACTGCGTGAATAATCGGCATATAGACGTATGGTCAGAATGACAGATATATGACATCTTTAGGCTATGGCGTTCTAAAGTTATAATACCCCTTGCAAGGTGTATACTACCTTATAGAGTCGGAAAAATCTTCTTCATTGCGTTTCGAATTTCTACAAGTGTATAATGAATACATGTATAAGCTATTTCATTTTGGGTAAAACACGGCCAGCGGAATACTTTTTGTTTTTCTTTTTATTTTTTATTTCAAGTCTGAATATTAGAAATTTCACTGCAATTAAGGGCTGTCCCCCTTTAATATGCGATTTTACATTTTCTTTAGAGCTATGGTTAATATCTCTAAACAGAGTTCCGTAATATATCCAGAGCGATTTCTTGTGTACAATTATTCTTATATAAGCCCTATAAGTGAGAGCAACCAATCGGCTTCCCCTCTATGTATATATCAAACCCTTAAGCTGATGCAAGCAATAGTGTTTTTAACGCCCACACACGAGTCTCTATCACGATGTGCCTGCGTATATATTATATATATATATATATCTTTGTATACATATTGGCAGAGTTTTACACTTGAGTTTTGGTTTGTATATGTATTTGTATGCGTATAGAATCCAGCAGAACTGCCGATCCAGCATGTCTGTGCCCAAGGATCGATCGTGCGTTGTTGAAATAGAGTTCAGTAGCTTGACGAAGCTGAAAAAGAACAGACGCTTTATTAAAAAGAACTAAACTTGGTTTGTTAACTGCGTTATTTTTAAAGTTCACTTTAGTTTTTATTATTTCTACTTAGAATTCAAGATGAGTGGCCGACAAGTGGACAACTGGAATGGTGGCCAAGGACATCAATTTCAGTACCAACATACAACTTATTCCAACCAAGTCGCTAATCCGAGCGGAGTGACCTCCAGGCAAATCCAAGCCAACAATCGCCGGGCTGCTGTTGAAATCCAGCATATCACTCGTGCGTTGTCCAACAATGGTCAACCCAACAGTGTAACCTTCAACTACGTTAACGTCAACCATAGATATGCCAAAAAGTAATATCTATTTGGGAAGCAACTTGATGTTTTTTAATTTCCTTAATTCGTTTCAATTTCCAAGTTGCAAAATAAATAAATAAAAGGAAACGAATCTGTAAAAAAAATGATTTTTTTATTTTGTAGTGATCTAAATGGCGTTTTAACACCTTCCCATATACAAGCAGAAAAAAATATAGCAAGCAAATGCAATGATTGAGTGAGTTACAATATGCTTATTAAAAAAAAAAAAACGTTTGACTGTTTATTATGTGTATATTTGAAAAATATAATTTAATATCTAATGTGATTGAATAACATTCATATTCGTGATAAAATATTAAAGTCCTTTACATTTGTACAGTTCTAATATATCTAAAACAGTATAAAAATGGATATGTATCTCACAAACTGGCAGATTTTCTTAACGCTTAAATACAAGTAATAACTTAGTCTAAGCCGATTAATGGGATCCTATAAAACTGGTGTTCAAGAAGCCTTCACGAAACGTTTCGAGACTCGCAAAGGGGGTTTGACTTATATATGCTACTAAATTCAGTCTTTGGGGTTGGTACTTTGCTAACAAAAGTACAAACTAAGGGCCTACATTTGATCCAACACTAAAGAAAGCTCTTGTAGAGCCGAATGCGTAGGTCTCAGAGTCATAACTGGGGCTGCTGCTGGTGCAGGGCCAAAGTGGCCGCGATATTGTTGCTGGGTCGCTCCAAATAGCTTCCATGTCCGGGCATGGGCATCGACATGGGCATCTCCAGGTGTTGGTGATGGTGGTTAAGCTGCATCTGCTGCGGCAGTGGCTGTTGCTGGGAGAGTTGCGCCTTCAGGAGACTGGGAGATGCCTGCATGGCAGTGCTGCTGGCCACACCTCCACTACTGCCTCCGGGACTGGGACCGCCCTCCTTCAGCGGCATGCCAATGGTGAGTCGCACATGCAGACCAGACTCCTTGATGAGATTCACAACGTCGCCGTGCGACATTCCGGCTATCTCGATACGGTTCACCGCCACTATGCGATCCCCCACTTTGAGTTCCCCACATCGATCCGCTGGACTGCCGGGTATCAGTTTTCCTGAAATCATTAAGGTGTGAGATAAAAACGTTTAAACGCTGCCACACACAACATACCTATGGTCGAGCCATAATAGTGGTTCGATGATGAGATTATGACAAATCCAAAGCCCTCGTTTTCATGCCGGCTCACAATCACGTCATAGGGATAACGACGCAGCTGTGTGCTAACTGGAGCCTGCTGCAGGAGCGGAGCCCGTCGCCGGCGCAGGATCATGGTGACCTGCCCGCGAAGTCCTGATTCACCCACCAACGAGACCACTTTGTGGTGCGAAGAGTTGAGCTGCAACGGTTAAGCACGAATATTAGTCATGTCTGGAAAACTCGAGTAGTGGGTCTCAACTTACCACGTTGATGCCATCGATGCTTAGGATCTCGTCGCCGGTGGAAATGCGCTGGTCCTGATCTGCTGCGCCACCCGGCACTATGTGGCCCACTGTGACCTGCGAACCCTCCTCCGTGCCGCCAACGATGCGAAAGCCAAAGCCAAGCGCCTGACGCTCCAAGGTAACCTCGGTCAGTTCGCACTGATCCGCATCCTCGGAGGCATCGAGCAAAGCTCCATTGCGCCAGCTGGGCGAGTGCTGCATCTGCTGCTGCAGTTGCTGCTGCTGCTGGTGAGGAGGATCCAGGTTGGCGAAACCCACGCGTCTTCGATCGCTGAGCAGCTCGTTCACGCGTCGCTGTATTCGCTCGTTCTGGAGATGCGCCGTCTGCAGCGGCGAGTACTGACCGGTGTTGGAAGACATTGCGGCCTGCTGGGCCTGTACAAAGTAACCAGGACGGTATCGCTGCGCCTGACAGTCGTAGCAGTAGCAGGATTCGTGATGGGCCAGTGGCAACGGCAGCGGCTGCATGCTGGGCGGCAGCCCGTAGATGCCGCCATTGGCATCTCCCTGCAACGTCACCTCCGCCAGACGATCGGTCAGACGGCTTATCTTGGGATAGGGATCCATGTAGGGTATGTCGTCTAGCTCCTGCAGACTGCTGTTCGACTTGCCCTGCGTCTGCAGCTGAAGCGGTTTCCTCGGCTCCCGCTCCGTCGCTGCCCCGCCGTCACCATCGCCGTCCACCTCGTTGCTGGGCGTCTGTACCCGAGCCCGACGCGTGTCCACCAGCGGCGTCTTTGGCCGCATGGGCAGTACCTCTTTCACCTGGGTGCTGTACAGGTCCGCTGTGGGCGTCTTGCTGCGGAATAGGCCACTGCCAACAAAGTTCTTGCGCAGCTTGGCCACATTGCCGACCTGGTTGAGTTGGGCAAGCGTGTTGTGGGCCGGCTGGTCCGGCGGCGTGCGCTGAATCTTCACCGCTGTGGGTGTCGTCTGGCTGCATTCCTTGAGCACCTCCACCACGTAAAAGTGCGGCTTGTTGCGCACATTCAAGCCGTTGATCTCCAGCAGAACGTCGCCCTCCATTAGCTGTGTGCAGCAGTTGCGGTCGAGGATCTTCTTCACGATCTGACCGCAGGCGGAATCGGCAATGGTAAAACCAAATCCCATCGAGCCCTTCATGATTGAGAAGGTGTACAGTTCAGGTTTCTTCATGAGAATGAAGCCACTGCCGGCACCGTTCGCTTTTTTCGCCCCATCAGCGGACAAATCCAGGAAGTTGTAGTTGCCGTCCATGTTGAGGCGACGCTGCTTGTCCGACTCACGTCCATCCACCGCCATGGTGGTCACCACCTCAGTGTTAGGGTCATTTGGATCGAAGGGCAGCGGATAGCCGCGACACACTTCCAGGGATGCCCTCTCGCCGGGCAGAATCGACTGAAATATGTTGACCATGTCGTGATGGGTATAGCCCAGCACGCAGGTGTCGTTCACGTAGACCAGGACATCGCCCGTCTGCAGCTGTCCGTCCAGCCAAGCGGGTCCATTCGGCACCACCGTCTTGATCTGCAGGAACTCCTCCACATCCCCGCCAGCGCTGCCATCGCTGCCCACGATGGTGAAGCCCAGGCCGCGGGATGACTTTAGCAGCGTGGTGTTGACGCGCTGTCCCTGCAGCTCGGCGGGATTGCGGGTGAACTTGTAGGGCAGCTTCACGGGTGTTTCTTCCTCCTCCTCCTCCTGCTCCTGCCCATCAGGCGCCTCCGCGGGTAGTGCCTCTGATAGCACAGTTGGCGTCTTGGAGCGCTGTTCCTGTTGCTGCTGTTGCAGCTGTTGCTGTTGCAGCTGCTGCTGTTGCAGCTGCTGCTGTTGTTGGCTCTGCTCGGCCGCCCGCCGCTTGGCCTCCAGCACTGGGTTCTCGTACTGCGTGCGCCGGTTCACATGGTCTATAAAGTACATCCCGTACATGGAGTCCTCAATCTTCTCCCATCCGTAGGGCAGCTCGTCCTCGCAGCAATCCTCTAGTGACTTTTTCTGGTATTTGGAGAGCCGCGGATCCAGCCAGTGTGAGGTCCCGGTGTTATGACTGAAACAGAAAAAAATGTAGGTTAGCTATAATATTATTACATATTAATGCTGGAAATCGGGTCGTAGGAAATCAGAAATTCCAACATAGACTAGTCTATACACTTTTAATAATTTCCTTATTTAAGTTCAAGCTATTTAAGCTTAACTCTAAATGATTCACTCAGTTCTCTTCTTTAACTGTAAACTATCGCAAACTATATATGTAAATAATAATATTTAAAAAATATAGTCAGTAAAACAGTCGTCTTCACGTTGACCCATTGATTAATACAGTTAGAATCGAAAAAAAAACAATTTGTTTTTTATCAACAATTTAAGGCCAACATTTTTCAAACATCAATGTTTTATTTAGAAAAACCGCCATTTTGTCAAAATGTTTTATTAGCTTACTTCTTCGATTAATTAAATTTAACATTACTTTAAAGAAATCTGTTTTGTTTATAAACTTCGGAGGAGGAGGGGTTACTAAGTCATAAACACACATTTAAAAGATAACATAATTTGTGAACAAATTTTTATATTAATGAATTTAAGGAGCTTTCCCAAAAAAATGCAGGAAAATTCTCCTTTTTTGGCCTTCTAATTTTATATAACCCTTTAAGATAATAAGGGTCTAGGGTAGTTAATCATTAGCTGTCATCATACTCACTCGATGAAGTAGAGTTCGCCGCGTTCGGTGTAGGCAGTCTCCCACTTGGGGGGCAGGGGTCCCAATCCGTCGCCCGGGTCATCGTGGTTCGCGTGGTTTTGGTGCTGGCCATCTGCAACTCCGCACTCGCTGCCCAGACTGCTGTCCCCGGCCTCGCCATTATAGTATGTATTCTGCAGCAGATTCTCTGTAAAAATAAGGGAGCGCGCGTTTATGTACTGTGCCATCCGAGAATCAATGTACAAGTATGTATATAATCAGTACAAAAATCAATCACCAAACTCAAATCGTTCAATGAACCCATCGTCTGCAGGTGGAAATTGGCCAAAACGAGTCGCCAAGCAGGTGAAGTTGATGCTCAGCCAGCCGAAAATAGTTTGGTGTGGTCTTTTGAAATCGAACCACATACAAAGCGAACCCCAATCCCTAGTCCGCATCTCCTGCCACTGGCCATTCCCCTCTACTTAGCGCTATTGGAAATCTGCTGGAGCGTAAAGCGTTTTCGATTGGGGCAAGCCAGAATAATAATTATTATTAGCAGTTGCCAGTCGCCAGTTTGCAGGCAGGCTCTGGCTAGGCTGTGACCTACTTTCCTGGCCCACGGACATAATGGGACGAGATGCCCACTAAGCACTCGCAGTCCCCACTCAAGTTGGATGAGTAATGGTCCAATTTTAATTATGGTCGAGCGAAAGAATTAAGTGAGCGGCCCATGCTTTGAAACCAAGGCCGATGTGATTTCGCAGGGCAAACCGTTAAGAGATGATCGTAAGATAAGCGCTAGCCATGAGTCAAGTTTCCACTGAATCGCTTTAGAACTAACAATGTAAGAACCTAATCTCTTTCCATGTTCAGATTTGGCCATTCGTGAATTATGTCGAAACTTCTCAAGTTATATTCAAATTAAAAAAAAGGCATCATAATAAAACCCAACAGTTTTAAAAATATGAGTATTATATGACTAATTGTGTTTTAT